CTGAGTAAAGTAAAGAACCAGAAAAATAGAATATTAATCTGCATTAAATAAAGAAAGAGTTCTTACCTGCAAAGAACTTAGGTCAACATCCACCAAAGAAGTACCTAAAGGAGGTAGTCCTGTATCTCTAATTCCATCCTTTAAAAATGAAATGCACCAAAATCGCAATCAAAACCAGATCAATATTAATATATTATTAGATATTAATATATTAGTATAGCTACATTACACCCCCACGGAAAATTTATACCTCATACTCCAGGTTTGGGCCATATCCAGAATGCAACATCCGAGAATTGGGTCCAACAGTACTTGACAATTCTGTCTGATCATCCACACCAACATTAACTTGCTGATCCAAGTGGCTTAAAGAAACTCCTTCATTCACAGATGGCAAAACCCCATAGGCTGAAGAAGCCTCCTCAAGGACCTCAACTTTTTGAAGCCTAGAAGAGTACCCGAGATGGTCTTGATCAATCAAAGAAACATCACTTTTGGCAAACTCATCACCTGCTAACTTTTGGAAGAAGGACCAATTCTTTGGATCAAGGTTTTCCACGTTAACACTCACACCAGCTCCATTATTAGGTGTTGAATTGATATTACTTACACTGCCAGAAAGTATGGCTTGTGCAAATATATCAGAAAGGATATCGCGAGGAAACCTGTCATTGATGTCAATTATGATGTCTCCTTGCTCAGATCTAGCCATGCCAGCATCTGGCTCCTCCAAACCAACAACCCCATTATAACTACCCTTCTCATCTGAGTGCTGAGAAAGACCTTGATGAATACTTTTACTAGGCAATAGCTCACTGTCAATCCTATCTCCCTGATGGATGTCAGGAAGGCAATTCTCCGAACCTTCATGGTGTTTCACAGTATTCAGTCCACTGGTGGCATTAATCCTTGATCCAGCATCCATTGAATCATCAGCAATTTTTTTTGTAATAACACTTTCCATGGATACTGTTCCGTGGAGATCCACTTGACTCTCACTTGCTTTGTCTTTCAAATCTAGACCAATTGGTACGGCCTGCTTCACCTTTTGATTTTTTCCTAAGGGTAGAGGGTTTTCATCTGGAATGATCTGCTCAGTCTGTACAGAGTTTGAGCTTTGTACATTTTCAGCAGATTCTGTATGCAAATCTGTTTGTGTAACATCAGAATGGGGATGAGTCATAAGAAGCTGAGAGTTGTGTGAATCATCTGATTTTGATACCCTTTTCAGCAACTCTGCCTGCTCACGGGGAATTCTTTCAGAGCAAAAAACCCTCTGGGGAGGAGGTGGAGGGTTGGACTCAAAGAAGCTCAAATCAATAGGAGCAGTTTCGGGAACACATGCAAAACTACGGTCGTTTCGGCTGGAATTAGGAAGTTCGGGACTACCAGTTTCAAGTGGAGAAGATGTCTGTATTGGATAATGGGGCTTCCCGCCATTCTCAATGGTAAAGTAACCTTTCACATTATTGTTAAGCAAATGTAAAGCAGCAAGCTGCTCATTTGACAATATTTGATTATATTGAAACTCCTCTCCTTGATGAGCTGAAGCATTGGCATCCGATCTCACTGGCTTTACACCAATTGGTATGTGATGATTCACACTTGGTCCATCCAACAGCTGCCCCTCTACATCTTCTTTCTGAGCAAAAATGTCATTTTGTCTAGGAATGACACATTCACGAGTTTGCATGAAAGAATTCAAGTTGATGCCATGTTGCGAATTCTGCAGCGTGCCATCATCATAGGGTGGCATCTGTCTATGGTAAAGGTGCATTTCTGATAGGTAACCACCATGGGAGTTGTGTTGTTCAGAAGACTTGGGTAATGATGACGAGTCATCAAAACCAGAAAAAAACTGATTGTTCTCATCAATAAAGTTGGTTGCGACACTGCCGGTGTCCATCGCAACATTATGCACATCCAGGTCATCTATGTTGTTCGCTGAAGATTCAATGCAATGCAAAACTGAGTTTTTCCTGGAGTCCATGTCAAAGCCATTGACAGCAACAAAATACTGAATCTCACATTCTGAATGAGAGTTGGTTAGATTAAAATGAGTGTCCTCCAAGTCAATCATAGAAAACAGAAACATCCTAAGCTTCTTTGATCCTTCTCTATCATCCAAAACAAAACATTCCTCCATCATATTCTGCAAATCCTCGTCACATGACACAGAAACTAAAGCATCAAGATCCTCTCCTGGAAGCTGATACTTTATAACATGAGTAAGGTCGTAAATCGATATAGCTTTCTTCCATAAATCATGCCACGTTATGTCCTTCCTTATGCGTACTATGCGTGTTTCACCTCCAACATACCTGAGCTTTCCATCACTCGGCCGGGGTAATATTTTTCCACCAAAGCTGCAAAGTATCTTGAGACGTGCCACTGAACTATCAGATGCTCCAGATGCAGATGAGGCATACATATGCGTTTGAAAGCTACTGTTCTCTGTGGAAGTTTGTTCTCCCGGTCGCATAGGGCCATTGATACTTTTCACTTCAGACAAGGAGTAGTTTCTTTCTTCCATATCTCTGGAACTTTTCGTTGTAGTGAGCATGTGAATATCTAAACCTCTTTCAGCTCCAGTGTGACTGATTCCTAAAACACCCTTTAGCTCCAGGTGACCACCAGGTGTCTGGCTTGGATCAACAGAAGTATTTGGGCCATGGGGTTTTCTGATATTAAATCTGTCAAGCATGAATTCAAGGGAGAACTCTTCACCTGTCTGTATCGAGTAATTGAGCACAGGTTTAGACTCTGGATGGATCAGATCAGGAACATCGCGTTCTGGCATGTCACTCCTAAAAAACTGAGTTTCAGGAATTACTTCGGCATTGCTATGTTCTCTAGTAGTATGATAATGCGAGTGGATTTGACTTTTTGATTGATCCATCAAAACCAAATACGAGATCTCACTTGGTTTACGAAATAATTAAAATCAATGGACATGATTAAGGTGAGGAAGTCAGCTATACATATTTAGAAATCATCAGGGGGAGTCAATACAGTCAGAACCTCAATATCAACAACACCCAAATGTGAGGTGCCCGAACACAAAATGCATTCTCAATCCAGCAACTATGGAGTATATAAGCTGGTAGAAACATGTAAATATAATCACTGCCATATACAAAAAACAGGGTAATGTTTATTAACAAATCAGGCTAGACTCTAGTAGATGGCTTCAGTTGCATTTCTTTTACCCTGAGTTCCCCTACTGCCACACTTGGCAACTTTGCCACTAGCTCTGGGCGCTACAGTCTATTCTAGAAGAACAAAGATATACTTTTGACCGGTACTGCAGTACGAGTGTTCACTCATTGATTCCATCAAGACATCAAGTCCATAGGGGAAGGAAGAATGGAAAATAGAGGCTTCTAAAATTTGTAAAAATGAAGAAAAGGAGAAACAGTTTCGAACTTGTTCCTAGATACCAAACAATGCACGAATAAAAGATAAATTGGATTTGTAGTCTAAATCAAACAAAACAATGATCAGTATTATTACCATGAAAGAGCGACTCAGGCGTCATAAAGCTTGAGCTTCAGCGAGAAAGCTGCATTTTCGTACAAAAGGAACTCCCAGATGTGCTTATCCAGAATGAAGAATGGAAGCCGTGTAATTGGCAGAAGGGAATTGTGGTTTGGGAGAGGAGGAGCGGCAGCAGAAGGGAATTAGGGCGTCAACGATGGCGACGCCGATCACTTCACCGCACCCGCGTCTAAGTCAAACACTAGTGCTTTGACTTAAACATGACATTTCCAGTTAGTATACCGTTTAGTATCACTCCTAGAGTCCTAGGTGAGCACCATTCTCTCAATCCCAAAACAACGTAGTTTTGCACAATTTAAAAAAAAAACGCGTGAACAGTACACATGTGTGCAGTAACCATTTTTTATCCCAGTAGTATGAATGATGTAACTCGCGTGTAAAGATATATAACTCACGTTATTGATCAATGTAACTCAAGTTCATTCGTAATGTAACTTATCAAATACATACTATAAGAAATAAAACATTGATTTCAATGCAAACAATGCAAAAAAAAAAAAAACTAACTACACAATTACTTTACGTAAATCTTGAATATGTTTTGTTTTTAATATCATGACCATCACAGGGATTTTAAAAAAATCATTTTTTTTGTTTCAATAGCAAGGGTTGTTTTTTTATGTAACTCGTGTTATTACAAACGTAACTCGCGTTGAGGACAAATACAACTTAGGTGTATACAGAATGTAACTTGTTGGAAAATTGAACAATGATTTTTTTTTGTTTTAGAATAACATACAGACACACACACACACACACAATAAACTTTGATTTCAATGTAAACAATGAAAAATTGACCCTAATAGCTTAATTACTTTTTTAAAATAGTGAATATGTTTTATTTTAGATATTAGAGCTATAAAAATGATATAGCAAGAGTTTATTCCGTGATGTAACATTAAGATGTAACTCGCGTACATTAAGATGTAACTCGCGTACATTAAGATGTAACTCACGTACATTAAGATGTAACTCGCATACATTAAGATGTAACTCGCGAATACGAAGATGTAACTCACACACAATAAAATGTAACTTGTGCATAATAGTCCTGCTTGAGCTAAATATAATTAAGATGCAACTTGCGTACATTAAGATGTAACTCGCGTACATTAAGATGTAACTCACGTACATTAAGATGTAACTCGCATACATTAAGATGTAACTCGCGAATACGAAGATGTAACTCACACACAATAAAATGTAACTTGTGCATAATAGTCCTGCTTGAGCTAAATATAATTTGAGATAAATAGAAATGTAAATTAGGTTAATGAACATGTAAGTTAAACCAAAACAAAATGTAAGTTGTATAATATTTATACCTATAGATATAAATAATATAAATACACCTGCTTCTCTTTTAATACTCTTTGTGTGTGTGTGTGTGTGTATGAATTTGGTGGATTTTTTTACTTTTGTTGGCCAGGATCAATAAATGGATAGCCACATCTATTTATATGCGGTCTGGAATGGATCTGCGACACAAAGGAACCCTTTGGCGAATCAACCAAAGGAAAGGACAGCGACGAACAAATATGGATGGAGGCCTGGAGTGGATCTGCGATGGAGATGAAACTGCGATTTCACCGGCAAAGAAGGTCCAAGCAACGGCGGCCGATTCGGCAAAGATGAATTTGATGAGCTCACGTCTTCGCACCTGGTTTCCTTCAATGTATGCACAAGAAGTCAGTTGCTAACTTTTCTAATTAATAAAACTATGTCGTTTTGGGATCGGCACACCATGTGCATGGTGGGCCGATCCCACGGTATAATTTGCGGACATTTCTAACCACGTCCGTTTCTAGATTTTTTAGTTTAGTTTTTTTTAACTCACAAATAGAACGCAAATTATGTCGTGAGATCGACACACCATGCGTATGGTGTACCGCTCCCATTATTGCCTTTTTTTCCTCAAGCACCGACGTTTGCTCGCAGCTTCCTCCAGATTTTTTATTCTTCTGCATCATGCCTATGCTTCCACTAACTTTTCCTTCCCTACTTCCACTTTCTTTTCTCTTATCTGCTTTCTCATCTAATTCTCTTTCTTCTTCTTTTTACTTTTCTTTTTCAATTTTAATTTGTTCATCTCCTTTATTAAAATATTAAAAATATGATTACAATTATTTTTTTTTATATAATTCGATATATTTCTGGAAAAAAACTTTATCTCTTTTGTAGGTTTTTAGTATTTTTTAAGACATAGAGTTTGTTAATTTCTATTTACATATGATAAAACAGGTGATTAATTTTTCATGTATGTGATTTACATTTTCATATTCGTGAGTTACATATATACATAATTCCTGAAGTTATATTTGAGTTACACCTTCGCATGCGCTAGTTACATATTTTTATGTTTGAGTTACATTATTTTATAAGCGAGTTACATCTTCTGAAGCGCAAGTTACATATATCATCAACCGCGAATTACATTTGTAATAACATGAGTTACATAAAAAAATAACTCACTGCTAATGAAACAATTTTTTTTAAAACAATCATTGTGATGGTCATGATATTAAAAACAAAACATTGATGGAGTATATGGCCCAGGGACCCCCGGCTCACAGACTCCTACTTCTCCTACACAGGCCCAATAGGCCCAGGTAGCACATAAGACCCGAATGCGATGGCCCAAGCATGAAGAAGCCCATGGAGCACATGAGGGTGCCTTTGGCCTTATGGCCGAGGGCTCCAAACACCAGAACACAGCTGGTTTTAAGCATGCGAGGTTACTGGGAGAAAATAGCAGAAAACGGGAGTCTTTGACTATGGGGTGCCCCCGACACATGAGTAGCCTTCGGCCACAGGATAGGCCTTCGGCTACAGAAAACTCAGAGAAGATTCCTTCTAGAGACAAACAACCAATGCATTCAATGCGGTGTCACGTCCAACCACCACATTTAATGCAGTTGTCGGTGCCACCCCGATTGAGGTGACCCTCGGCCGTCAGATGTTTGACACGTGTACGCGCTTAGCATTTATGGCTACTATAAATAGCAGCCCTTTTCCCCTTGTAAACGATCCCAACATCTCGAGTTCATTTAATACACTCGACTCTCTCTCTTACTTGCTAGCTTTGACTTCTCTCTAAGTTATTTCTCGTAATAATCCTTCGGATAAGCTACCCCCCGGGTACACTACCCATCAAACATAATCACTATTTACGTAGAGTAATTGTGTAGTTAGGCTTTTTTAAATTGTTTGCATTGAAATCAATCTTTTATTTCTTATAGTATGTATTTGATAAGTTACATTTCGAATGGACTTGAGTTACATTGATCAATAACGTGAGTTACATATCTTTACACGTGAATTACATCATTCGTACTACTAGGACAAAAAGCAGTTATTGTACACGCTGTATTATTCACGCGTTACTGTTCACGCGTTTTTTATATATATAAAAATGTGCTAAACTGTGTCGTTTTGGATGTGGGAGCACGGTGCTCACCGACGGTGATACCACGGTATACGAACTTCAAATAGCCCTATGATTTAATCACCTCATCTAGTAATCTTCTATTAATATATTCATATTTAGGGGTCTGTTTAAATAATTTCACCCTTATCTTATTAATTAACTAGAATGTTGTTCGCGCGTTGCGCGAATGTAATATGCCCAACTTGTACTTGCTTTGAACTTAATGATCTTTTAGGTTTTAATTTTGCACAATTGAAAATAGGTTTGGTAATATGTATCGAGGAAGAATATAATAAGAATAATCTAAAAAATAGAACTTCCTGAGAAGAATGGTATAAAGAGAAGATAAGCCAACCGAAAGTAGACGCAGGGATACGTCCTGCGTAATAGATGGCATGCTCGACTCGCTTGATGTGCTTCTTCTTTGCTGCACCTACCGATTCAAGCAAGTCTGAGGACGTTATGGCCGTGGATCAAAATAAATAGCGGCTTTGATCTTCATTGACCTAGTGCAGTGTCCTGGATGTATAGTTTACAACTCATATTAAGCCAATAAGCCATTTTGCTTAATATTGCATAATCTATATGCTTTCTTTGGAAAATTCAAGTTTCTAAATAGTGTTTACAGTTATATTTTTGCTTTAAACGAGCATTGTACAATTTATACCCAACATGGATACTAAATATCTGAGCATTTTGGAAGTTTCATCCCTACTAATCTTACTGCCAGTCCCGCCCCACTTGAAAACAATAGGTCACATTGCAGTAACAAACATCTAATATGACTAACCATTCCTAGTTCATGAGGAAAAAAGCTCCTGCAAACTATGAACCAGGAGCTAGACTTATGTGGATATAATTTAGGTAAGTTCATAAATTGAAATGTACAACGACAAAAGTACTCTATTGGGTATATAAAGAAATATTTAGTGGGTTTAGTTTTTTTTGGACAATTCTTTCTAACCTATATAGTATCTGCTTAATGTTAATGCCACATCCTTGAACTGGGATGAGATTGGAACATGTGACCTCCTAAAGTAATCCAAAACTCATTTCTATATGTATAAGCATTTTTTTGAACATAACATTTTGTTCTGTACTCTTCCAATTCAAGTGATTTTGTTATGTAAAGGTTTGTTGTTTGAATATGTCTCGGGAGCTGAAAACATGTCAATATGGCTGCATGTCATTGAAAACAACACATATATATCATTCTAAGCTGGTAAGCTTAAGTGAACTCAATCTTTAGGAGAAGTAGAAATTGATGTGTTAGATTAAAAAATGGTGAGAACTCCGGTACCCATTTAAAAAATGGGGGTACCGTACCTACCACTCACTTGATTGGTCCAAATAGGCATATCATTTTTAATTTAAACTTAAATAATTCAACTGCAACATTTTGATTGGTCCATGTGGACAAAGATGTGGTACATTATGGGTACCATACATAGAATCTACCTTAAAAAATTGTACTTGAAGGCAAGTGCAATGAAATAACCTTGGCATTTTAACAAACACCTGGTATGCCTTTAGTTTCCTTTCATATGAACTTGTGAAGACCATTTAAGCATAGTCGAGTCTTAATTAATATAAAGCATGCATAAAAAATGCAGCAGAACACATTCAATGTGAGAGTTTTTTGCTTTTATAGATTAAAAACACAAAGAATAATCCCAAACTTACCTACGTAGAGCACAAACATTGCACTACCTTTAAAATATTAAAAATGTAATCCTGGAGCCATTAAACAAAGGAGAAGGCACAAAGGAAATTAATACCTAAATAGTACCCAATAGCATAATACGTACTATAATATACCTCAGAGATTGCTGATCAACAATCGTGAGAATTGAAGAGGATAAATGGAAGTTGAATCCTAATATATCTTATATTTTTCATAGAGATAGGTTAAAAGCCAACTAAATGTAAAACTAAGTTGCTAAGGGCTTGTTTGCAATCACTTAAGAAAAGTGATTTTGGCTTTTTTTTAAGAAAAAAACACTTATTTTACCAAACACTACCAACTTTTATTTTCTCGGCTTCCGTGTAGAATCTACTTTTTACTTTTTCTATTACACAAAAAGCACTTATTTTACCAAACACTACCAACTTTTACTACTAATCACTTTTTCCCAAAAAGTGCTTTTATTTAAGCACAAGTGGTTGCAAACAAAGCCTAAGAGACGCTACATCTTCTTGGACGGGAGTGAAGTATCCATGAGATGCACTGGCAGGGGAAACGAGTCTTGGAGAAAAATTAAAAGCTCATGTAGGTGAAAAGTTGAAACAATAGATAACACTCACAATAGTTTAACGGATATACTTGGTTTGACGGTGGGTAAATAAATTTAATGCCGTCAACTATGAAACTGGACGGTGAAGAATGTAAATCGGGGGAGGGTTGTTATATGGGATACTCTAGCAGCACATGGTACAACAACTTAAAGCCTAACTATGAAGAAGTAATAAGCATTTAATAAGAAAAATGGCCTTTATTAAGATATGTTAAGATACGAGTTCATCGGATTAACCCGACCCACGCACACCCGGTCTCCCTAGCCCCACCCTCGTCATGGATGGGATAGAGGGTAGGATTTGGGGATGGGGTGGGAGTTGGTAGTGAGGGGTGAAGTCCTTCAAAGTTATAATTGATGTTTTAAACTTGATCCATGTTTTTAAAATATGTGTCATAAAGTATACATATGTTGATCAAGACCTTTTAAAAATATGTTTTAATAATCAACTCTTGCTAACCAGTGAAGTAATTATATTCATAACAAAATTTATTTGCTTTTAACTAGTAAAGATTAATATAACAGCGTTGCGGCGGCGCGTGAACTCGGTTGCGGCGCTCCAGGCTCCAACGTCTGCTTCTTCACTTTTCTTGTCTTAGTTATTAGCTAAATGTTCATGAAGTAATTTTTGAATCACAGGCGCACGTCTCCCATAGGGTTTGGGGTTGTTTTTCTACGCTTTCGTCTGCGACGAAGTGTGGCTTTGTTGTGCGGCTTTCGTCCGCCTTCCATGAGACTCTCTATTTCGAGAGATCGCAGCGCCTATATGGCGGCCAAAGGTTGTGTATCCCTAGCAACAGGTGGAGAGGTTCGAGGATGTCGTTCATGGTTGAGATCAAAAGGTCATGGACGAAGCGTGGGGCTAGGGGCTAGATCAGATCTGGATCGGAGGCAAGGAGCGGAAGATGCTTCAGTACTGTTGGACCGTCCCCCCCTTGAACTGCCGTCATGGAGTGCAAGAGAGTTTAGGGTTTGGAAGCAGTATTTTAATTTTATTATTTGCTTGCTATTTAATTTCCATGGTCAGACTGTTCTGTTTTACTTTTATTTTTTCCTTTGTTATAAGACTCTTGCATTAGGTTTGGGGGACGAGAGGTCTACGTTAATCATCATTGGCTTTATGTTGCCCAAATTAGGTCTAGCGAGTTACATTGATTTGTCAAAGGTGATTAACTCAGAGTCTCGGCCAAGGGCGGATGGTTACATGTGGTCATTTTGTTATCCTATACCCCTGTTGAATGCTATTTTATTAATTTAAGCCCCCTTTGAAAAAAAATAGTAAAGATTACTCAAAATCGTTCGCCAATTGCTTGCAATACAATCACGAGAGCAATTTCAAAATGACCTATATAGTAACTTTAGGCAGAAAACAATTGCAACCTTACGGATCCGAGTGCTTGGCCTGGAGATCCATCTTGCGGATCCGGGGTGGCTATGAATATCAAGAAAGCACTAGTTCGTAGATTATAGATAAGGAAGGAATGGGATAATTGGTTTTGGGCATAGTTCAAGTACGGACGTCTTCCAAAGTCCTGCTTTATTTGTGAAATCTTAGGACATGTTGATCGTTGTTGTCCATCTAATACTCACTCTGGACCCTGGATTGGAGAGAAACCATATGGGGCTTGGATGCGTGCAGATATTAGAAGAGGAGGAGTGCATTAGGGTAATAAGTGGTTGATCCCTAACAGTAGCGGAACGAGCTTACGTGAGGAAGAGGTTGAGAAGGTTTTGGAAAAGAATAGGGCAAGCATTGAGGAGATAGACAAATATATAGTGGAAGAGCCCTGGAAGAGCAGAGTGATTAAGTCAGATATTGGAGTGGATACACAAGTCAATACTGAGGTATGTGTTGACAATCCCAAAAACGGGCAGGTGGTTAATGAAACTCTTGGAGATGCGAAGAGTTTGATGGTTCAACAAAAGGGCAAACTTGCGAGCACTGAAGAGGTGGATGTTGATCCTTTTTCTTTAGTGGTGGCTGGTCAAACCACTACTCCCTTGCTAGTGGCTGGTCAAACTGGATTATGTTACTGTTCTGTTTTTTCATCAGTTCCGAACTCTGTTTTGTCTTTTTATTCTCCTTCTAGTAACAGGTACAACCGTACAACATTGTTGTGTATGGAGTCTACCAAATTGCGGGGTTAGCGAGATGGTCCTCAAGTATGCGCGATTCCAGATCTGAGTCTCATCCCAGTGTAGCCTTGTTTGTTATGGCGAATTTGTATGTGGTCCTCAATTTTATTAATAATTAAGTTATTTGTTTTAAAAAAACAATTGCAACCTTACTTATTGTGATTTTTAAATAATTCAGTCCACAAAATCAAAAGTCAAGTGTTTAATAGAAAACTGAAATATAAGACTAATAAGCATGGTGAAAATTAAGTATTGAATTTCAAGTATCAAGAAATAATTACATATTTGTGAATACAATAAAGGTTGTTCACAAAATATATGACATCTTATGTGTACTGACCATTATGATAATTTAATCATAATAATTTATGTTCATTTTTACATCAAGTATTACTTCGTATAACATCATACTATACTAATTACTAATTACATTTTTATAATTACATTTTGTTAGACTAATTGTTTTGAAAAAATATTGGGAAAAGTACGGAAAAGGTACCTGTGGTTGAGCTCATTTTCAGATAGGGTCATGTGTTTCATTGTTTATCAAAGTGGTTCATGTGTTTGAGTTCCGTTATCACAAGAGGGTCACGCCGTTAAAAACGTCTGAAAAAGACCGTTAAAAGTAACTCCGATTTTCAAAAGTGTCCGGAAAATTAAAAGAAAAATACCGGAAGGTGAGCCTCAATAAGACGATCGCTAGGCCATCTTTTTTTTTGTTTTTAGCCACCCCTGTCATCGGAAAGTCCACATGAAAAGTGATATTAGCGAAATCATTTTTAAAAAAAATAATTCAAACAGATATGAAAAATCCAAGGCGAAGGTGGTTCGGAGGTCATCTTTACGAGGCGCACCTTTCAGTATTTTTCTTATAGTTTTCCAGGCACTTTTGAAAATCGAAGTTATTTTTAACGGTTTTTTCAGACGTTTTTAACCCTTTTGTGATAAAAATTCAAACACATGAACCACTTTGATAAAAAACGAAACACATGACCCTATCTGAAAACAGGCCCAACCACAAGTACCTTTTCCGTACTTTTCCCAAAAATATTTTGTTTTAGAATGTTTTAATTGGAAATAAATTTAATGGTGTGATCTAATAAATGATTGATCTTTATATATTTTATATCTCTGTGTATTTTATAACGTTTTAGTTTGACCTTAGGGGGAATTTGGATTTGCACCACATTTTTTGGTGATATTGTACTTTGCATCCCATTTTAAAAAAACTTTGATTTTGCCGCCCATTCCACTTAAAAATTCTTTGATTTCGCACCCCATTCAAAATTCTTTTCCACAAAATGTTGTGTATTAGGGTGCAAAATCAAAGTTTTTTCAAAATGAAGTCCAAAGTTCAATATCATTAAAAAAAATGCGGGCAAAGTCAAATTCGCTCTTGATCTTAATTCTTATGGGTTGTATTGGGGGCAGATAAGTATGAACCAAATAGTCCTTTTTTTTTTCAGAATCACTGAACTAAGGGTTGGTTTGCAACTGCTTTTAAAAAACACTTATTTTCCTAAACACTACAACTTTAATTTTTCTCGGCTTCCGAGTCAAAAGTGCTTTTACTTTTTTTATCGCACAAAAAACACTTATTTTACCAAACACTACCCACTTTTACTTTTTAAAATCACTTTTTTCTCAAATACTATCAACTTTTATTTAATCAATTCTCCCTATTTCATTTAAAAAAGCATTTTTTAAAAGCAGAAGTTGTTACAACCCTAAATAGTCCTATGCTTTGCTTTCAAACATTGTAGTCCCAGGAATAGTGCTATCTCCATCGGCGAGCACACTAATTGGGGAGTTCTCATCACTTTTGCATTGCGCATCTCACTTCTGCCCCGACTCTCCCGAGATCAGAATCTGAGAACTCTTCGAAGAGTCATATATATTCAGTCAATTTTTCTCCGATTTAGGGTTTCTTCAGCAAGTCTGTTCACCAAAATGGTTGGTTCTCATTTATTTCCCGGCTGCTTTCATTGTTATCTTCGAGTTTTAATCTTTAACATGATTCAGTTATTCACTAAAAAAATCATGATTCAGTTTTTGCTATGCCTTGGCTATAAGCAAATTACTGTTCTGCTCTTACTCATTAATTTTAACCCTCAACTAATTTTTGTCTGCCTGTCTGACGCAAAGACTCCATCTTTCGAGACCTACTTCCTGTGTTGTTCATGCTCTTTGGTTTGTCAATGGTTTGTTATCCTTTACCAGTGTGGAAGTGTAGTGCCTTGGCTATGTTTCAAAATTTATGCTGCTTCATCCAGCGTGTTGCCTTATCTTGTTATACGGTCCCTTTATCCGTTCTATTTCATTTTTTGCATATAATGGCTCTATATTTGGTTTAATTATTGGGGTTCTTGAGAATCTGTGGCAAGTGTTCTTATCCTATTTTTACTGATAAGCAGAATAGGCTGGGCAGAGGACACCGGGACAAACTTCAGCAATTCATGACAATAACCGGGACCAGGTATATTACACCATTCATTTTCAATAACTACTCTCCAAGTTCCCCCCCCCCCCCCCCCCTCCCCCTGTCTCCCATTTGTAGATGCATGGTTGTTAACTTCCAAACTGTTCCATACTTCAATTTGCCTTATTTTATCCCACTTATAGATGCACATGCGTGGTTCTATTTTTGCTTAGCTAAAACTACTTCAACGGTCCAATTAGAACCCTAAAAAATGCCAGTGTGGAAAAATGATATCTAGTAAGAAAGAAAATAGGGTAAAAACAAAAAATTGGTTTGAACTCAATAAAACTCATTATATTTATATATTTGTATCATTTATATCATATAAAAGAATTAAATGATTTAATCAAATTTGACTTAACTTAGTATTTTCTCACATAAAGCAAAACATTAAAAACAAATCCTCATCAATCTCCCCCTTCCCTCCCACTGAGCTTAAGCATAGCTTAACTGTTGAGGAAATTTGTTTCCTTGTAGTTTTTAGTTTATCTTCTAATTTCATATTCTCATATTAATTCAAATTAAAAGTTTGCCTCTCTGCCTCAAGTACATGTTCTCTTTTTTTATTTATAGTGAAAAGATAGCTCATCAGTACCTTAAGACCAGTGAGTGGAGCGTTGATGGAGCATTAGATTTGTTCTATAGCCAGCCCCAGGTGAAATTCTCGGCAGACAAAAGACGGTTAGAGGAGCTTTACAATAGATACAAGGGTAAGAATTTACAGTTGTATTTTGTGTGTGTGGCTTAATGTATATATGTTACATAAGCTGGGGTTAGCAATACCCCATCGGCAGAGCCAACCCCAGGTTGAAGTACTGAGCTCGTCAGCAGATAGTGTGCCCAAACCCATCTGAAAATAAAGTGGCTAAATTTAATAAAGAAGAGTTTTGAGTTTGAAGGTTAAAAACCTTGATTTAATAAGCTCCACCTTTCGTCTGTGTGCATGTTGCTGAACTTGGCGCCATCTTCAACTGTCGCCTTTTGGAAGGCGGACATAAGAAAGGAGGGAAGGACATGAAGAGCAGTATTGGAGAGATATTACGTGCAAGAATGAAATAGTAACATATAGTTGGGAAAAATTTAAAGAAGGGTATGCCTGAGAAAAATAAAATAAGGGTATAACCATAATTTCCTATACAACCATTCCAAATTGGACGGCTATCATGAGGGGATTGAGTCTTAATAAAATGAGGGGACTATTATATTCGTATTTCGGTTTTAGGCAGCTTCTTAATTAGCAGTTTGTTTTTCAGCAGCTTCTTAATTAACAGTTTGTTTTGGGCAACTTCTTAATTAGCCGTTGTCTCCTCTTACAATTAGGACTTTTGTAATAGTCAATGGCCATAATTATTATTGAATAAAACACCTTTGAAAGAATAAATTTCTGTCATGTCGTGACCATGTTGGGCACCAAATTAATTCCAACAACAACAACAACATCCATGCCTTAATCCCAAAAGATTTTGGGGTCGGACCAAATCAATTCTAACATAAGAATTTAATTTAGTTTGTTGTTAATCATATATCTCTTCCAATATGGATATCTATCTTCTCGTTACCAGACTCATTCTCATCCCCGGACGAGGTCTTTGATGCAAGCACTTAACAGTTTGGTATCAACTTCGAGGAGGATGAGTACCAATGCAGCA